GGGAAAAGTCATAAAACCCAGACATTGCTGAGTGTGAAAACTGTACAGGAGGCGGTGTCTGTGCTGCGGCCATGGGTGATGAGGCTGAACCTGCTAAATATCCAGCATATGAACCCCAAGTCGGGTCTGCAAACATAGACCCATAATAGCCTCCAGGGGTCATCTGTGACGGTGGCGGTGGCGGGGTCATAAAACCGGGTGAAGGCGGCGGCGGCGGCATCTGGTAATGGAAAGGCGATGGCGGCATCATATATGGCTGCGGTGGCTGTTGGGAAGGTCATGCTGGTGTAGCTGATGATGAACCAGAAGCACCTGCTCTCCGTCCACGAGTCGGGGGGACGATGGTGCTGTGTCGGTGAACGTCTATGTCGACGTCGTGGAAAGGTTTGCCCTCGTACATCCTCGGGAAGTAGAAACGGTTTCCTGTTACTATTGAACCACTCATAATAATCCTCAGCATACATCAAGAAGTCAGTAAAAATGGGCTCTCTACGTGGAAGGTGCCGATGTCGATCCTCCCACAACACGACCCACTCATGATGCCTCACCAGCCAATCTGTATCTGTTTTGCAGCGTCTATCTAAGCTATGCAACTCATCCATATTGCGAGGTGCTTCCGGAATTGGTTGAAAACAACCAAACTGCCGGAGCACGCGATCAGTGGAGTGCCACTCGACGGTCACATAACAGACCAGAGGGACCATCGCCATCCAAACATCTAATGGACCCCTCAACTCAGGTGGGATCACCGCCCTCACATCATCAGTAGAATATGGCACCCATTCAAACTAAAACAAATAATATATAATTTTTATCAAAATAATAATCTAATTATATAACTATAATCTAAAATCGATTTTTAAACATTAAAATTCATACCTGTGTGCCAGCCTTCTGATTGATTAGCACCCTAATATTTTCTAAATCATCATGTAGCTCCTGATGATTTTTCCTATCAGTAGACCACCTATTCAAGGAAAAAATTTGTTATACGCTATATAAAATTATTAAAATACAAAATCAGTTTTATAATTACCTCAGAAGTAGTGGAAATACGAATGGGTTCTTCACAACGGGACATAAAAAGGGCAATCGATACCATGCCCAAGACTGCAGCAGCAGGAGATATCTGTCGATAGCATTACGCCTGTAGTCAGTGGCTCCACACATCTCCCTGTACAGTAAAGCCAAAACTACCGAGCCCCAACTGAATGATCCGGCGAGACGAAAGTCGCTAAGATGTCGCAACCACATGCAGTGAACTAGGTTGCGCGATTTGTCCGGCATCAGCAACCCTCCTATCAGCTGCAGTATGCATGCCCGTGCATACATCTTAACCTCATCCTCAGAGGCGTCTACGCTCAACTCCCGAAAATTGGCATCTAACCAATTTAACGGTATCCTACCTCTGATAAAATTTTCCGGGACACGTCCTAGACTATCCCGACACAAACCAGTCCAAGAACCGGAAGCTATCCCCGATATCACATCTCCATCCACCGAAAGCCCCAGGTGCATAGAAACATCCTCAAGCGTGATTGTGCACTCTCCGCACGGAAGATGGAATGTGTGGGTCTCCGGCCTCCACCGCTCTACTAAGGCAGAAATTAGGTCTGGCTCTATCTTACAGTGACCCTGATATCTACCTATGTAACTGAATCCAGCCTCTACTAAATACTGCAAGACACGACTGGGTATCACTAACTTAAGATTCCTAATAAAAGGATCTAATACACGGTCCTTCTCCTAAAAATAAATAATTACAAAAATTAATTCTTAATCTAATAATCATGCATTAAATGAATCAACTAATTATTAATAATAATTTAAATTAAATTAAAACGTTAAAATGTTACCGTATCAGCAAAGTGTCGAGATATTTAATTATTAATATAATAATCATGCATTAAATAAATAACTAAATATTACTAATAATTTAAATTAAATTAAAACGTTAAAATGTTACCGTATCAGCAAAGTGTAGAGATATATGATTTCCATCCGAGCGAAGTAGACTGTCTTCCATTATATATCTGCAAAAGAATTATATTAGTAAAATATTAAATAAAGTAAAAATATAATAGTAAAAATATTATAAAAATATACCTTAAAAAGAGAGTATTTGAGAGAAATTTAGAGAATTTGAGAGAATTTGGTGTGATAAAATTGATTGAGAATGGGGGTATTTATAGGGAGGATGGGTCGGTAGTTAGGGGTATAGCGCGCCCCCTGCACCGCGCTATATCCCACGTGACACCAAATCATCGTATAGCACGGTGCAGGGGGCGCGCTTTACTGCTAAGGGTGTTAGATCGGGAAATATAATCTGACCGGTGTTAGATCGGTAATATTATCGGTCACCGGTGATATATCGGGAAAATCGCCCATTAAGGTCCAGTGGTCGGATTAGCTGTTTTGTCTGTTGTGGGGAGTGCCGCCGCATGGGATGGAGAGTGAGAGAGTTTCTAGGAAAGGATGAGGAGTTGTTGTTGGATGTAATTAGGGATTAGGGTTAGTTTAAACTTATGTTTAGTATATATATTAAAGCTTTTAGGTCAATTGTTCTTTTAGTCACTAAAGTCGAAGGGTAAATTAGGTTCTAGTCTCCCAAACTTAAGCGTATTTTTGCAAATTAGTCACCTAAGGGGTTAGTTTTCGAATTTGGCTTTTTTTTGTTTGTCCCGATTTCGTTATTTTCCAGATTTAGGTTTTAATTATTTTTTAGGTTATTTATGTTAAAGTCCCTTATATTTATACGTTTTTTCATTTAAATCCCTCTTTTAATTTTTTATTTATGTATCTAATTTTACTTTATTTTAATTTAGTCCATTGTTAGGTTTGTTTTCTTTAATAAATTGTTTATATTTATTTCGCATGGTGATATGTTTACATATGTATGGGTATGCGAATAATTCATTAGTAAATTGCATGGCATCATTTTTGTGTGATTTGTATGATATCCTCATATGCATAACTCGACATCATTACATAATTGGATTAAGGATAATACTCTTTCAATTTAAAATTATTTTGAGTGGATTGTCTTAACTTATTAGAGATTCGCTTTTGACGGTTTTAAATAAAATTGTATCCTAATAGTGAAACTTTAAAAAATGGTTCGTCACCTTAAAATTTGGGAATGAAAGAAAAAAAAATATTCGATTATTTAAATTTTTCGAAAAAAAATTGTTAGAACTTATCTAAGATCTGCTCTCGATATTTTTAAATAATCGAATATTCTTTATCTTTCTAACAAGACTTGGTAATTTTAATTTAATCTATTTTGGTGTTTTTGAATATTATATTTCAGTGTAAAATTCATATTTTATTGTTTTATGAGATCAAAAATCAAATTAAAGTTGAATTTGTAGATTTCATCGCAAAGACATTAATTAATCGACTAGGTACTGATTTAGGGCGCTGTGGGGTTGTTAATCCTTCCCCACACGTAACCGACTCCCGAACTCATTTTTGGTAACGCATACTTCAATTTGTTATTTTAATTAAAATCAATTTTTATTTAAAATGAAAAAACGTTTTTGGGTGCCCAATCACACCCTAATCAAAGATTGGTGATGACTCATCGAATCATATTTTTCTATCGTAAAGGAAATCCCAAATTTTTCGAAACGAGAGAGGTTTTTCAAATCACATTCCTTTTTATTAAAAAGTTAATCAAGAAATAGATAATTAAAAGTGATGTGGTTTTCAAAATCTCACTTTTAAGAAAAAAATCGTTTTAAGAAACACAAACTGCTGAAACACTGACAATGGATTATCACAGAGGAGCTGGAGTTGAGGTTACATGAACCAACTTATTTTCATTTCAAAACTCCAAACTTTTAAAACGACGATGTAAATTGTAATGTCTATTTGCTCTTTCAGGTTAGGATTGCCAGAATTTTCAATACTTACGGGCCTCGTATGTGCATTGACGACGGTCGTGTTGTTAGCTATTTTGTTGCTCAGGTGCCCTTTATCTCATTTATTTTCAGTAACTTATACAGTAGTGTATCAGCATGGGTGCTAATGTCGATAATTGACCGAATGAATGCAGGCTTTAAGGAAGGAGCCTTTGACTGTGTATGGTGATGGGAAGTAGACAAGGAGTTTCCAATATGTTTCTGATCTGGTATGTCATCTTGTGGTGATTTCACCATAGGGAATGTTAAATGTCTTGCGGAACATAGAGCTTTTAAGTTTTCACTGAAAGGATCAATGTTCTTTCTCTGGTTCTCGAACTTCGTTCGAAGAGAGTAGAAATTAATCTGTGAAACATACACCATGTGACTTGTACCAAATGAATGTCCCAAAGGGGACCATCAAATTTTAATTGCCTCATAGTTTAGTCTGAAGCATACGTCGGCGGAGTGTACTTTGCATGCAGTGATTGCATTATTTAATTTATGATTGTACCTCCATTTCTGGGGTGGGGCTTTAGGGTCTCTTTCATTATTTGGGGTAGACCTTCACAATTAATCCATGGGACTGATGGTGTTTGTCAAAACAATGTCCTGGAACAGGTAGAGGGACTCATGCGGTTGATGGAAGGAGAGCATGTTGGACCTTTTAATCTTGGAAATCCGGGTGAATTCACCATGCTCGAGTTTGCAGAGGTATGTATTAATTGCGGCATCTTAAAGTTTTGAGTTGAAATGTGTTTAACCGTGAAATATCTTTCGGTTTATACTTTAAAATTGAAATTCAAGATCGTTACCTGTTACAGGTTGTTCAAGAAACTATAGATCCAAATGCAAAGATAGAGTTTAGACCCAACACTGAAGATGACCCACACAAGAGGACACCTGATATCTCAAGAGCCAAGAGCTACTTGGCTTGGAACCGAAGGTCTCTCTCTGAAAGGGTCTCCCTCTGATGGTTTCGAATTTCCAGGAACGTATCTTCGGAGATCACAAGGAGGGAAGCAATAGCAAAAACAATGGATCATCATCTTAGTGAACTTTGCCAATCTAATCAAAATAACATTTCACCCTATTTTCATTCATGCAACAGCTTGTGTTTGCAGCAATAGTGATTACCTTGTGCATTATTTCCATATTCAAATCTGTATTACATAAGAGGTTTACTCTTACAAATTCCAAAATCCTTTGGCCATTCCCTGGTTACCTCTAATCGACATAGATTAGGCCACTCGACTTTCAATTTGTTCTGGAAACTTCAGCAGCAACACTGAAGGCCGAAACGAGGCATGCCACCCCAACCACATTTGTCCAGCTTCTGGTCCTCGCAGCAACAGCAGCCCCGGCAACGGCACCCGCAATTAAAGTGTTTAACTGAAATAGATAAAACAAGCTTGATGATCACTGTAGACACATCCTTGAGCTATTTCACGCACCATGACAACAGAATTTCAGTTCCCTTTTATATGCATAATGAACACTGGAAAAATCACTCTTATGAACCTGAATCTTGTCATCTTATATATGCATAGTAGACACTTCGAGGAACGTGAATACTGAAGACATGCAATTAAGTGTTCATTGTTTTGCAAAACAAAATGTTCATGTTGTCCCCATATCACGAGCATGAGCAGAGCTGTTTACCCCTTCACAGGAGGCAAACCAAACGATAAATGTGCTAGGGAACTGCCTTTAACTAACCAATACTATGGCACAAATGTTCTCTGCAAGTCTCCCTGATTTTCATAGAAATGATCTATGTTTGCTTAACCCCTTCAAAAGTTTATTAACAAACCTGGTCGTTCTGCTTCCGGTATCTCTGAAGGCTACAGCGAGTGGTGGCAAATACACCGGCAACAAGTCCTGAATATAAATGTGAAGTGATTCAAAACCCATCACATGCTTCATAAACAAGTAGAAAAATGGGTTTGAAAGACATCCTAAAAGCAAAATCACATCCTCTATTTAGATAATAGAACACCAAAGTACTATCCTAAGCCGAAAACCAGGCAAAGCATTGATGAGAAAGAGATGTTGAATTACCACATTGGAATCCGAATTTTCCGACAGACTTTGCCTGCAATTGAATTTAAGAGAGAAAAGAAATCAACATTGAGAAAAGAACACCTAAATCTCTTTGGAATAAGTTGATCAAATTGAAATCAAATACAAAAGAAAGCCCTAATACTATGAAATAGTCAACCAAAATTTCTAAGTTTTCTTTACCACAAACGAAGCTCGAGCAAGACCAGTTAAACCTGAACACCAAATCAACCAAAATTAGAACAATACTAACGCTGTCCGCTGAGACTTCAATAATTGATCGAAAATTTAAGATTGATACCTCTTTTACGAGCATCATACGGGGCTGAACAAAATCCCCAGAGTGCACCTGCCTGAAAATATATTTCAATTCCTCTTTTTTTTCCTTTTCTTTGGGTTTGGAAAGAAAAGAAACGAAAACAAGTTACGATAGTAAATAGAACTAAGATGATTTTACCGTTGTGAATCTGAGGACGGAATCAACAACAATGGAAGAGCAAGGAATAACGGCGATTAGCTCGTCTTCCATCTCTCATTTGCGATGTTTAAGCTTTTGTGTTATCCACGTACGGCGGCGGGAGCATCGAAACCCTAGGAAGTCTAGCGAAATCACTTTCCTGGAACGACGGAGTTTCTGTAATGAAATCACTAGCTGAATCGTACTTTTTTACGATGAAATGAAATCACACAAATCCCTTTCCCGGTTTGCCCCTCCTTCTTAGGAACACAAAACCCTATTGGTTAAATTTTGTCCATATTATAATTATAATTGACCTAATGCAAAAAATGGCCCAATGTTTACTATAATGATCATTTTGGCCCTTTTTTTTTGAGATTTTGGCCCCCAACATTTTATTTTGGGGCAAAAAATTCCCTCAATAGATGAAAAACATTACAGACGATTAACACTCCAAAATAGAAACCTTTTAAAACCTAAATTGAAACGTTAAGGGCTAAAATACCCTAGGAATAAAAAGAGATAAAGTGATTATTCTATAAAATGTAGAGCCTTTTGTCTTAAAATAAAAAGTTGGAGACCAAAATGCACCAAAAATAGAATAGAGTGCAAAATGACCATTTTGATAAATGTTGAAGGTTATTTTTGGTATTATGCCATTATAATTCTCCATATGTAATTAAAAAATTATTTTAATTTAGTAATATGATTAAATTATAGTCATTAAAAATAATTAAATTACACAATAGATTTTAAATCCACAATTTATACAATGTACATAGGATAATTAATAATAAAATTTTATTTAACGATTATAATTTAAACCTTAACTGAAATATTAAAATTTAAAAATATAAAATATAAAAAAATTAAATTAAAATATATAAATTAAACTTATAACTTCTGTATAATTCAATAACTAATCATTGGCCTTTATATATTAACATAAAGTTTCATCCATTTATTTTTTAAAATGATTGGCACATATCAAATTAAGTTATACAATATATAATGACATGATTAATAATAATTTTTAACTATTATTATTTGAATGAATTTTGAAATTTTAAATAAATTAAATCCACTCTTAAAACATATAAATTAAATCCACTCTTAAAACATATAAATTAAATCCACTCTTAAAATAAAAAATAATCATAGATCCTAATAATAATATACTAACATAAAATTTGGGATGTGCTAAAGTTAATTAGAGTTGGATCAAAAACTAACACATGATTTCTTTGTTTTGAATAATCTGTTCATTGGATTCCAGCCCAAAATTAGAAACAAAAAGAGAAGGGTAAATTACGCATTTAGTATCTAAACTATCAATTTTGGTCTATTTTAGTATAAAATTTTTAATTTTTTCAAAACCATACCTGAAGTTAAGTTAAGTTTTGAAAATTTAAAGTTAAGTTTTGAAAAATAAAATTTAAAGTTAATTTTGGTATAAGATTTTATTACCCCATTCAAAATTTAAAGTTAAGTTTTAAAAAATAAATTGAAAGTTTAGGTATTAAATGCATTAAGTTTTTAACGACGAGTAGGGGTGATTAATGAGTTGAGCAACTCGAGCTGGACTTGGTTAAAACTTTATAAAAGCTCGACTCGGGTTAACTTGACTCGAACTTGAACTCGACTCGAGACCTTAACGAGCTGAGTCGAGAAAAGTCCAACTCGACTTTATAATTTCACAAGTAGCTCGTTAATTTTTTTATAATTTTTTACTAGTTATCATAATACATTATTTCATTAAAAAAATTACTAATTTACTAATAGATGATAAATGACTAATCTATTAATTTTCTAATAAAAATAATAAATAATAAATTATTAATTAATATTTTACTAAACCAAAAAATTAAACAGTAATTATTATTTTAATGTATTTTTGATTTTGGAGTTTAGGCTTTGAATTTGTTTCATACACTCTTTTGATCATTTTTTTTTGTTAAATTTATCAATTTATGTTTATATTAAGCTTTAGGTTTAATATAAAAATAAGTGCTTGAACTTTGACTAGAAAAACGTTTTAGTGCCTAAAGAATTTTTGACTTAATTGCCTAACGTTTTCATCAGAATACTTTTAGGTACTTGGACCATAACGACCATTAAATTTGACCGCTAAACGACACATGTCGAGCCCTGGTTCCCCCCTTCTCAGTTCTCCTTTCCCTCGTTCCCCCTTCCATGGTCGTCGGCCGATTAACCGGCCGTGACTGTCACTGCCATCATCGTTAGGATCGACGTCGACTTCCAATCAAACTCTCGTTGGCCTTTCACTGTAAGCTGTCACCATTTTTCGTGGAGAAGCGTTCGAATGTTCGTCGGATTTTAAGCCACCTTTGTTATTTTTCGTAGATTCCGGTCGATCCTGACGTTCATATGCCACGCCGTCACCACCATTTGAACCACCGTAAAATTCCGCTCAAAACCCAACCTCGTTGTCACTCCGTCGGCATTCCACCAGCGTTCCACCATGGTAACGGGGTTGTAATGAGATATTTTAGTTCTTTTGAGTTTTTTTTATAATTTCATTAAAAGTTTAGGGTTCTTTTCGTAAATAAATTAAGTTTTTTTTTAAAAAAATCATTTTTCATTAAAAATAATATTTTTTTATTAAAAATTAAAAAATTAAAAATATAACGTTAGGCATCTGAAAGTGTAAATGAGAAAACGTTAGACACCAATTTTTAGCTAAAAATTCTTTAGACGTCAAATCGTTTTTCGAGGTAAAGTTTAGGCAATTATATTTTGTATTGAGCCTAAACTTTATATAGTATTAGTAGATTTTACCTATTGTTGAGTTAATCGATCGATGAATCGGCCAAGAGGGGGTGAATTGGCAATAAAAATTTCGGTGGAAGCTTTTGCAGAAAATTGAAAATATTTGCACAGCGATTTAGAGTGGTTCGACTTTCTCAACCAAAATCTAAGTCCACTACCTTAGCTAACCACACTAAGGATTTTCCACAAATTCACTAATTTGTCTTTCTTTTGAGGACAAAGAGTAACCTTACAACTCCCTCAAGAATTATACCCCAAATTCTTGAGAACACTCTCTCCCAAAGAGAAAATTACAAATTCCCAAATTTTACAGAAAAACCTCACAAGGTAGATGTTTGCACAATTCTAGAAAAGAAAAGAACATTCAAAGATGAATACAATTGAGCACAAAATGTGTTCTTGAAAGCAAAATGAATATGGAAGGAAAATTGGCTTGAATTTCACAAACTTAATGTTTGATGTTTTCTCTCTTGATTCTTTCTCAATTTTTGTTGATCAATGGCTTCAGAACTTGTTTAAATACACATTGGATCACTTCTGAACGTTAGGGATCATTGGTGAAGTCAATAGAGCTGTTATGGTGTGAATACCATTTAAAATATATATTGGGAGCGTAGGTGTACCGATACACTCAGTGTAAAATTAAAATATTTCGACCGTTGGTTGACCTAGTGTATCGGTACACCCTAAGTGTATCGGTACACTAATTACATTCGATGCTTCTCGGAGCCAAGAGTGTATCGATACATCGGCTGTGTATCGGTACACTAATTACATTCGATGTTGGAGGTGTATCGATACACCCAAGAGTGTATCGGTACCTCCATTTGTAAAAATTATTTTTGGCCCGATTAAGGTTTGAAATACTTTGTAAAAATTGTTTTAAAAATATTTTAAGACTAAAACACAATTTTATACTTAAGTAAGGATTAAAATTGACATTTGAAAACTTGGAGTAATATTTATGATATTCGAATAATTTAATTGAATATATAATTTAAAATCAAATAAAATCTTAAAATTCTATAGTACTTTATTTGTTATATTGAAACATCAAAATGTTTTCAACACCTATAATTAAAAAAATAAGATAAAAATTTTGGTGAGCTTAACGAGCAATGAGAAAAGCAAACAAGACGAGTAATGAGCTTAACGAGCACGAGTTGAACAACAAAATTTTTTAATGAGCACTTCCTAACTCGTGATTGATTCGCTCGATAAGCACCCCTAACGACGAAGTACTAAAATAAAATAAAAACTAACCGTTAGATATGATTTTAAAAAAATTAAAAATTTAGATGATAAAATATATCAAAACTAATAGTTTAATTACAAAATGCGTAGTTTACGCAAAAGGTAATCATGCAATAGCCTAAACTAAGAAATCCATATATACAATGTTACCGGCATTTGTTCACATGCAGCAGTCTTAATATACAGTTAAAGAAAGGTGTTATCGGTTTTATTTTTTTTAATAAAACAAATAAAAATTTATCGAAAATATTATTATTTCTACCTAAAAATATTAATATGTTTTAACATTTTTGATAAAGTGTTCAATAATAACAAAACCGATCGAAAATATAACAAAACCGTATATTAAGTTTAGCCGCCATTGATTATCTTCAAAATAGGCAGTGGCAGCTACGGTATTCTCTCTAAACCTACCTTCGTCTTTATTATTTCTCTTCCATTTTAACTGATTTGACTCGTTCGGAACGAAGTAAGTTGGTGGAAAATGAGTCGTGGTGCAGCAGCCCGACCCAAGGGGAAGAAGAAGGGAGCGACCTTCACCATCGACTGTTCTAAGCCGGTTGATGATAAGATCATGGACATTGCCTTACTCGAGAAGTTCCTCCAGGAACGGATCAAGGTCGGTGGCAAGCTGGTGCACTCGGTTATTCTGTCACTCTCACCCACGAAAAGAACAGAATCGCCGTCGTGTCGGACTCCGACATTTCCAAGCGGTTTTCTCCATTTCTCCCCTCATCTTTTAGCTGTAATTTGGATAGAGCATGTGTGTCGCATCTCTGAATTTTAGATTTTGAAAACGGCTTTGAATCTTAGGCAAAGATGGTTGAACTCTTTTAGTTTCATGATTAAGGTCAATGATGATAACCTTAAGGCTTGTTTCTCAGAACATTCGCAGTGGCTGCCTGAGAGCTTTCGACTTCGCCGGGCTTGAGAGCTTCTGCTGCTTTAAACCTTCCTTGGATGTCTGAGATCTTAATACTATTGCCTTTCAATTTCCCACTTTGGTTGCATTTTTGCATTGAAATTGAATTGAACCTTATTACAAATTGGGTTTTTGTTTGCTGCTTAACTTGAATTTAAGTTTTTAAGGTAAGCCTTTGTTTATCATGTGAAGACTTCAGATAACTTTAGCTGCTTATTGTTATGGATAGAATAGGTTTAATGTTAAGGTCTATGATGACAATCTTTAAGGCTTGTTTCTCAAAACATTTGCAGTGGCCGCCTGAGAGCTTTTTCCTTCGCCGGGCTTTGAGAGCTACTGCTGCTTTGATCCTTCCTTGGATGTCTGAAACCTTTCTTCGGACTTTTCTTAGAAAGAAAAGAACCAGCTTATGATTTTCGACATTTGAGTTTGAGTTTCAGTGGACTGATCCTTCGGATTTCTGTTTGGTTTCTAGGTACGTCAAGTACTTGACTAAGAAGTACTTGAAGAAGCACAATGTTCGTGATTGGCTTTGGGTGATCGCCTCCAACAAAGATCGTTCCGTTTACGAACTCCGCTACTTCAATGTTGCCGATAACGAAGGGGAGGAGGAAGAATGAAGAGATCGGTCTAATGTTCTCTAGATATCTTACTGTTTAAACCCAACTTCCAAAGAAAATTTTGGTTGCTGATGGTAAAAACATGCATTTTTCTCAAATTAATTTATCTCCAACCTAATCTATTTCTACTTTCTAGCTGCCTGGTAGTAAATACTTTTTTTTTTTGAAAAGTAAAATTTTATTACTGGAAGAAGAATTACACATTGTCAGGGAAGTCGTTAAAAAAACTTCTTGATGGACGAAAAAGAGTGCACCCAAAACAATAAACGAGCAAACTTCGACCCAAAGGCCACACTCATATATCAACACCAACTCCGAACAAGCAGTAACTGAAACAAAAACCCATGATCTTGCCACTGCAGCTTCGAAGTGGCCTTCAATACCTTACCCGGAGAATTTAACTACCTCTCAATATTGCCAATGCGTCATACCCAGACACCCAAAACCATCTAAGTTTTGGACATTTAGCTTCCTTTACCACTCCTCCCATGTACTCAAATAATTTCATTCGACCAATGGTTCTATCAGTGACATCTTGAGAATAACCACAGCTAGCTATCGAACTGAAAAAAGCTTACGTGGGAGTAAAATGCGTGTACAGACTGCGGTGCAGCCGCTTCTAGCACAGTCAAGCCTTGTACTGTTTCACTCACAGGAGTCTGCCCACAACTAACAAGTCGCAAGATCAAACAAATGCAATCAACTCTTCAACGACCTAAATCAACATCCAGTCTTTTCCACATGCTAATGCTGACTCTAAGGAATGAGGCTCACCGACTTGTAAAATTAACTCCACCCTCGAGTGTCGACGCCAGCACAACCATCAGCCCCAGCAACATCTCAGATCTTGGAAGGGAACCCAACGCCACTAAGCTTGAGAGGAAAAGATTCCTTACCCTCAGCAAACCGGAAGCGCAAGGCATGTGGAGCAGGCGAAACGAGGCACCTGGTCTACCTCTAAACCCATCAGTTGAGCTTCCAAATGAACAACCAATAATTAAGACCGAGAATCTTATGTTAAAGCCATTTTGGCTAGGAGATATCAGATTAACCTTATCTACAACGGTCAGGAATGCTCCCAACTCCTTCAAGCTCTCTCTCAGATCGCTCACCGTCACAACTTTCTTTTTTCCATTTCTCTTTCTCTTCAATCCTCTTTTCAAATGATTTTCTTTATATATATATTTTTGAAGATTTATTATCTTCCTTTGTAATATCATTTGAGGAGAGTTAAAGATATGTATTCTTTTATACGGTTAACATTTTAGTTGTTGTTCACGTTTCCGTGGTTGGTTCTTGAAAAAGAAGCAGCCTTTTGTATGTGCTACTGTTTCCGGGCTCTCTTTCCTGAGAGAGCCTTTCAACAGCGATATCCTGCTTGTTCCTTTTGAAAGTCGGATCTTTGAGGCAGATTTTAATCCTTTTTTCCTTCTTTCATTTCACTAGCTTGTTCATCACCATCAAAGAAAACAGAAGGAAAAACCCCACAAAAAAACATCGGCTTGGCTTTTATTTGAGGCTGTCTGGAATCAGAACTCCTCATTTTAGCATATTATTTCTCTCTCTCTCTCTCATATATATATATATATATATATATATATATATATATATCACAGGAAAAAAGGACGTGCTTTACTAAGAAACAAAGTAAATACATTTTGATGGCTGCCTGTATCTTTCATGTAACTAGTATGGTTGAAATCGGATCGAATCGAATGGGTATGTTGGTTTACCTAACAGTCTAATCTCTGAACTTATCGATTTGAGAACTCATTTACTCCCAATATTTCAATTTCTATCTGTAGTTCTTCGTTTTGCAAAATCGAATACAATACGTCCTAACAATCTGTTAAAAATATACTTGGATTGTAAGTGAAATCAAAATTTCAAGTCCCCATTATACTTTGTTGAGCAAATGGAGCTATAATTCATCAATGAAGAATAATCATTTTTTAACAGATAATTTGGAATGGTTAAAGAATGAAATATTTTATTTTGATTAAAGAATTCAACATTCAAATAATAAAAATATATGATTTAAATACTTATTTTTTAATTAGAATGAAATAAAAATACAAAATGGAAAATAACTCTTGTACTTGTTATTTCTTTGCTTGATCGTCTCAAACCTACAAATTAATAATTTTAATTTATGTGCATATCATTTTATGAATTTTGTATATGAAATCGGTGTAGATCGACTGATAATTCGATATATGTCTTTTGAATATGTTTCTTTTATTACGTAATTATTATATTTATTAATTTAAATATGCTTTTCCCATAGATTAAAATCGTTAGGCTAATATAATACTGTTATCGTAGTGGTGGTGTTGTTATCTTGAATTTTATAAAAAAGAAAATTAAATTTAATTAAACTTGAATGACTTGTATCCCTAACTATAGCTATCCATCTGTTAATGAAATTTCAGGGGGAAATGGATCATTTTCTAACTTTTGATAATTTGAGTGATTAAATTATGCATTTAATAGTCTTGTGACCCAATTAAAATAGGGTAAATTACCTATTTAGTACCTAAATTATTAGTTTTAGTCTATTTTAGTACCTAAACTTCATTTTTTTTCAAAATCATACTTAACATTTAGTTTTTATTTTATTTTAGTAACCATCGTTAAAAAACTTAGAGCGTTTAGTACCTAAGAAATCATTTTTGGTTCTTTTTAGTACTAAACTTTTAATTTGTTTCAAAAATTAACGTTAAACTTTTAATATAGTACTAAATTGAAACAAAAACTAAACTTTAAGTATGAGTTTAAAAAACAAATAACAACTGATAGTAAATGTACTAAATACGTAGTTTACCCTATAAAATATCAATAATAGTCAGATGACCATTTGGGTAATTTACCCTAGTATAATATGATATTGAGTAAAGAGATGTTCTACAACTGCCCCTGTTTTACGCTCCTTACGATACGCTCACCACCGAATATGATAAAAAATTCATCTAAACTCTGCCGTCCAAACTCCAAATTCATAAAGCGAAACGAATCACATCCATCCAAAGACAACATGGAATTGCTCCGATTTGCGTGCGCGACGGCGCCACCCCCATCGACTTCGATCGCAGCACTGTTCCTCTCCAACGCCCATAGGAAGAAGAAGCAGCGGAATGCATGCTCAATCCGAGCTCAACTTAGCGATGAAAACGACCCATTGCTTAACTCGGCCATCAACTCAGCTTCTCTTCGTTTTCAAGAGACCCGACGGCCAGGCAAGCAAAAAGGATTCCCCCAATTCACTCTACGTATATTACCTTCTGTTCAACTGAGGTTAAGAATAATATGTATTTTACATGCAGACCCTCTTTTTGTTGACCCATATGCCGGGTGTTTTGTTTTGCCCCACACTCGGATGGATTTGGAAAACAAATCGAAACAGTATTGCATTGCGACCAAATTCATTGATGACAAGCTGCTTCGTACTGTGAACCACATGGATGGGCTTAAACAGGTGATTTTCACTTAACTCGAGGTTGAATCGAACTCTTTGCAGTAGAAATTTAAGTTTTCCCTGTGAAAATTTGCAGGTTGTTCTTTTATCAGATGGAATGGATACTCGGCCATACAGGCTTAATTGGCCAAGCTCAACCATTATATTCGATATATCCCCTAAAAGGGTATTCCAAAAGGCCACAGAAAAGCTGAATGGTGGGTGCCTGACTCTTGAACTTAATTCTGCATAGTTTATTAATGTTGTGATGTATATTTTAGGGAAACGAGCAATTCCTTTTATATGTTGTCTGTGTATGTCTGGAATTATGGCAATCTGATATTTTTATTGCATATATGGTTAGTGCTTGGGCTGGATAAGTAGTTCATGTTCTGAGAGGATGTTCTTGAACGAAATTAGGTATCGGTGCGAAGATCCCGAGAAGATGTTTACTTCTTCATGTTCCATTGGAATCACCTAACATTCAAGAAACTTTGGTTATGAAAGGCTTTAATGGTAATCGTCCGAGCATATGGGCGATACAGGTGGAAACGGCCTCTACATTGCTTGGCAGCTGAAACTTCTAAGGATTAATTTACCTAGAAAAAATTATATTTTTTTTCATGTTTTGATTTCGTAGGGACTGCCTGTGATGACTTTGGCAAGTTTTGAAGAGATTTTATTAACAGCCAGTGGAATGGCCATGAAGGGTTGCCACTTCTTGGGAGAGTTGCCTGCATGGTTGGCAGAGACCGAATTTGGTAACAAGGTCTGTCATGTTTTCCATAGATTGTATCTGTTCTTTACTTGTATTGCTTTTCTTTTCGAAACACATGCCCATGTTGTCTGTTTTTCATGTTGTTGCAGTCCAGTACACAGAAATGGATGGACAATCTGTTCATGAGCAATGGTTTCAAGGTGGAAATGATTAGCTACGATGAAGTAGCTAAACGTTTAGGTAAGGTAGTGAAACCGGGAGATTCTGAGAACATACTATTTGTTGCAGAGCAATTGCGGTGTTCGGATGATCAGGTACAATTGCTTCTTTTTTTTTCCGGTTCAAATTGTGAAGCATGAGAGTGCATAAATTTAGATACAGATGAAGGTGTCACTACAATTAATTCAGCTCATAATTGAATCTCACATTTCCTTCTGTTGGTTGCTTTTGTGTTGTACATAATAATCGTCTCATTCATTGATTGCGTCGACGGTGTGTAACTAACGACGAATTTGCATTTTTTGCAAAGATGGAAACTTGGAGGAGAGAGCTTCAAAGGGTGGAGGAAGATGGAGACGAGGAAGGGTTTGAGGAGCTCTAAATGTAAAAATGTTTTTTTGGGGGTTTGTTTTCTGCAATGAAATCTGTTCTGTTCTGTTCTGTTATTTCTTGCTAATTTTCCCATTCACTTGTACATAAAAAGTCTTTTGAGAATATTTTATTTTCCTTTTGAATACAGAAAAGGTTGCTGTTCTCAGTTTCCACCATATGGAAAGTAATTTTTGGTAGCAGTTTGTGTGCAACCTACTTTGATTCTTGAATGTAAAACCATTTTCTGAAAATTTTGAGTTATTAAAACAAAATAGTCCTTATTTCTTTAATTTTAAATTTATCTTTGATCAAATTTAAATCACATGTTCCTCCATCATTTTATAATATTTGTGTAACTACAATATAATTTTTGTTTGATCTCTAAGTGTCTATAAATTATTTCTTCCGGCCAATTTCTAATTTCTTTCATATTTGTGTACTAATGCATGCAATGAATATATAGGAGAGGTGGGATGATTTAGATGTGAAAGAAGAGGAACATCGGAAATAGCTTCCCAAGTTGATGCCATTTTTGTGAATCCCTACGATGTCCACCACGTAAAACAACAGCACAATTACTCCGACTCCCAAAAGAAATATACTGAGGATTATGGTTTTGAAAGAAAAAATGAACTTACTTCTGGCCGGTTCAGACTTCTGACTTCAGTCTCTGGGTTTGATTCCGATCCAATCGGCACGCGCATAAAAAGTTCCTTGGATGTGAACTTAACCATTTTACCACCACAAAATATAGATTTAGAGAACTTAACCATTTTACCACCGTAAAGCGCGCAATTGAAGTATGTCCCAAACGAAACGAAGAGTGCAATTCAACATCTCTTATCAGAATGAATGAAATTTGCAGGTCTTGTGACGAATGTTCATGAACACAAATAGACATAGCAATTGGCTCATTTGACACAACCGAATATGCACTTTAGATGAAAGTTGGAAGAACAAAACTAGACCACTTACCTTTTTATCCACCTTTTCGGAGATAATGACATGATTAAGACGTGCATCCTTCCTTCTCTCAAGAGTTTCCTCCCTCTTCCGCTTAGCATCGTCATGTTCTTTAAGCATCCATGACGGCAAACCTTTTTTTCTTCTGTACATCAGTCCATTGACCCCAACCGGGGAGCAAAACAGGTTTATCCGGTTCGGGGTTTTCCTCATTCAAGATCTCTTGTTTATCCTTTTCAAATTCTTCTGCTACGTCAACCCCGGCAAAAGCAAGTTGAATGAGCTCCGCTTGAGAAGGGAGTTCATATTATTCCTTGGGGCCGGAGGACAATACCCACCATTTGTTGTCCGCTATCTGAATCACTTTCCTCTTCTCCCACCTTCAGAGTTTACAAGAAAAGGAACAGAACAATAAGTAGCTGCCAGAACACACAAAGTAGAGCAAACTTAAGAGTATCAGAGAGATCAAACCTCAATGTCTTGACTATGCGCAGTAGGTTCCCACTTTTCATCTGTGATTGCATAAAGACCAGTTAGCCAGGAAATCCAGCTTACTCTGGATTAAAGAATAATCGAAGTGATAGCAAGGGATAATAATAACCTTTCTCCACGAGTCAGACGCAAAAATAGCAACTTCATACGTTGTTTTTGAATCGAGGTCTCCAACAACATTATCAAAATTCTGTGATCCGAAAACAGTACAGTTTTCTATTACCCTTGCAGACAAAATAATAGAAAAAGAGCAGGCTGCAAGAAAATCAGAAGCGCTATTACCTTGAATACAGAAACATCGGCTCCTTCTGTACTATCATAAAGAGGTCCAGCATCCTTCTCAACATCGTTTCTTCTGCCAGCCTCAATGTTAAAATTCTCTCTGGCTTCCAAATCATCTTCACTATCGCTGTTGCCATAATAATTATCCACTTTCATCTTATCCGATTTGGTCTTCTTGTTAGAGTCTGGGAGACTGGGACTTCATTATTAGCCCTACCGAAGACCCTTCTACCACTTGCAGTGGCGGGTTTTGAATTTACTGCACCATTTGTACCCTCCAATTGCTCAAGCTTGGCTTCTTCAATTGCTTCTTCCTTTCTTTCTTCATTCCACGAACCTAACAAATAACAAATGAGGCAGAAGACATCAGGATAAAATAAACAAATACAGCTCATAGTTATCTTTGACAGCCCAAATGAAAAATACAACAACAAATACCATGAAAGATAAAGAAAGAACTCCAGAATTGGGCAAATCTTCATCGTCTTCTAATTCTTTCAGTGTTTTCTCTTTTTCTTTTTCTAGCAATTCAGATGCCCTATCCTCGTTTGAACCCTCCTCATCCTCTTCACTACTGCTATCACTACTACTACTACTGCTGTCGTTAACAGTGTTAATTTTTCTCGTCAAAAGAGCATGATGGTGAAGCTGTTCAGCCATAGCTACTCGAGTACCTTCATCCTGAGCATTCAAACCACGCTCCAAAATCCGCCTTGCCCACTTTGACTTATTTTTGTGCTTCAAAGTCAATCGCTCCTGCATCATAAAGCAATAGGGAGAAAATCAAGATTCAACATTTGTTATTTATGTTTTGGTAAAGTACAGATGCCAGAACCTTGTTCGAACACGGGAAATTTATTAAATCAAAGGAAAATGAGATCACCTCAGCCCGTTTGAACTCTTGCTTCCTAGCCTGTTCTTTGGCTGCCTCTGGATCCATCAGCATTTCTGCAGATTCTACTTTCGGCTTATCCTTATTTTTTAAACGATGATAGGTTTTGGATCTTTTTGATGCGTTTCTGCTTCATTTCATGACGGAAAAGAAGGCTGCGCATTTTGGCAACATGATCGCGTTGCTTCATGTAATCTTCTTCGGATATCTGCCAAGCACTGATGAAAGCCAAACACGCAAGAAAAATCTTCAGGATCTTAACAATTATATTTTATTCGGTGACAGACGATCACAGAATATTCAATGAAACAGAACAAAGACCATGAGAGGATCCGAATGCGCAGAGAATTACAGCCATCCAAAAGCCATTGCATAAGCATAAAAAGTTTGAAGGACCATCTGTTTTTTCTATACCGAAAAGAGTTCAAAAGAATGACAAGCTTAACATATAAATATTGAAAAATCACTAACAAAGCTATGGTTGCTCCTAATATGGAAAATCCACTTTCATTCACATAGAACATTACGATTTTGGTCGACTTCAAAACAGTTATTCAAATTCTATTCCACACTTGACAGAACCATGTTATTCCTCTTCGTCTTGTCTGCAACCACCCAAAAAAAAATCATATCAACTGAAAAGTAAATAGTAATAAGGTAACTAACCCGATGCCTGCATGAATAGTTCCCCAAATTTTTTCTTCTGGACAATGTCACCACATTTTTCAACCTAGGATGGCAGCTTACATGTGGCAATTCAATCAAAATACCATGTTTCAATATAATACAAGAAAAGTTCAGATTGGCAAATATGATTACTAGACAGATTTCTAGTGAAATGCAGGATGTCCTGTGCCAGACAGATATCAAATATGTTCTGTGGACACTCATTACAATCTCTCAAAAAATACTGGCGGCAACTTTTATTTGACAATTAAAGATAGTATGATTAAATAAAAAACATGAATGAGATTTAAAAACTGTCAGAGTACTACAACAATTACAAACTAACGTAGGTCATTGAACTTGGTTGATCAGTAAACTCCATACTTATCCGACAATGCAAATTCAACAAATTCTTACCTTCGAAGGCGTCAGTTGACATCCCAGTGATCACTTGCAACATCCTCAAATGCCTTCCGCCATCATCATCTGATGACGCATTCACATCCTACATTAGAAGAAGAAAATGCTGATAAACATAATATAAATAAAAATAAGGAACAACAGGTTAGTCTGCAAGCAAAGAAGATTTCCTATAATGCAAAGGTTCCACACGTACTGTGAGCTCTGGAGTAAGAGCCGACACTGCAGAACATGGTTGATTGTAGGTACCTAATTGTGAAGTATAGCAATGGGATTTCATTTTAGAAAGTACGGAATTTCCTAGGAGGATTTATACGGACTTAGGCAGTTCCACTCCTAATAGCTAGCTTTTATATGACGCGGTTATCCGAAGTTCAACCAAAATAAAATTATCGCGAAACAAAATTGAAATAAAAATCAATTAGGGAACCTCAAAATCCTCAGGGATTTCGTATTCGTAATTGTCGACAGGATCGAACCGGCGGTTCTTCCGGGACTCTTCTTGTGGCACTTCATCCTCATACTCGTAAACATCGTTTGCGAAATCGGAATCTTCCGTCATCACTGTCGGAAGATATTTTTCGGTTCAGGCGATAAAGATCCGCTCGCGATGTAGAAGGCAAGCGAGGACCTTTCCCCTTCATTCTCGAATCGGGATCATGTTTGTTCTTCTTCGCTAATTTTGAAGTCTTTTTAACTTCCTGTCGCTTTTGCAAATTCATTACAATGGGAAGGCATATGAGACCTTGCTTGATGCACAAAATGTTATCAACAATGGGAAGGTATATGACAGTGCTTATGCAAATTCATGAGATCATAAAGCGCTATTAAAATTAAGTTCAGTGTTTTACAAACTTGCTTTAAACCCACCTTTTTCAACCATCTTTCCTCGAAGAATGACAGCAATCATGTCTGCATTTCTCACGGTACTCAAACGATGAGCGACAATGACTGTAGTCCTATTGCCCATTATCTGGTCCAACGCCTCTTGAACTACTCTTTCAGATTCTGCATCTAATACACTTGTAGCTTCATCTAAAAGTAAAATTCGGGGGGGTCCTTTAGAATTGCTCTTGCAATTGCCACTCTTTTCTTTTGTCCACCAGAAAGCTGAATTCCATGCTCTCCAACCATGGTTTCTAGCCCCTACATATGAAGATCAAAGTTACACATGTTTTATATAATTTGTGATGCAACACAAGAAATAATCATATTTTTCGTACAAGGGATTAGAACCTGAGGTAGTTTGTCGAAATTTAGCAGCAATTGCAAGTTCATCCGCGGCTCGTATCTCTTCTAAGGTCGCATATTCCTTTCCGTATGCAGTATTATCTC